AAATTATTGTGACGTCTCTGTTACACTCCGCTTCGGATGGTGGTACGTATTTTTCCAACACACACAACATGACATTATACGGAAAGGTGTAACTCGCAACTTGGATCGATCAACCACTGAGTAAGAATAATTTGGTTGTAAGTGCTTCGAAAATATTGGAACACAAAGTACCGTGGGATACAGGAGCCGTCATGTGTAAAGTGATCAAATGATCATGTGTAAAGTCGAAATACAATTTTGTTCGGTCAGAATCTGTCAATCAAATAGGTTATCGAGGAAAATGGACGTAAAGTAACTAGGTTGCCCTAAATTATATGACACATACCAAATGTGCGTCTAACGGCTTGGGGAAAGAATGGCAAAACACAGACGAATACTGTTTGTGCTTCATGTCCTGATGACAGAAAATGTGGTTGTTGCGTGAAGCATCGGCTCAGAATAGTGACTGATTGCAAATCTTAATTGTGCTCATAACCTGTGAATCATTTTAAAGAAATGCAATTTTTTATGAACATTTATGTCCTCTTATACGAAGGTTGCACCAAACACCAATACAAAGGAGTTAGTCAGAAAAGACGAAAGGTAGAAAAAGCAGCGATGGCGCTTTTGCGAGAAAAAAATGATTATCCTTTTCTTGTTGCAACCAAAGAACACTGAAACAAATAGGAATCGCGTTGATTAGTCTGATGGAAAGAGTCTGTTCGAGACTCCAGTTGTCTTTTGCCAAAGCTCAGATTCTGGAACAGGATTAAGAACGTCGGAAGCTCTGTCTGACGCGTCTGTCTTTGCGACCAGAAAAGAGAAATGGCTATGGAAGATGAAGATTATGAATCGCTTCGAATCTGTCCTGAAATATGATATTCTCCCAAGTTAAGATTTACTGATAGAAACTTTAAAAATTTCTTCACTATTTGCAAACTTGAACAAGGCATTTGCTGAGGAGGTAGTCAAGATGTTTGGCCCAGCGAGTAACACGAAGACCATCAGATTCGAGTTCGTGTTTTGACTTAGTGAAAACTGTCGAGTGGGATTTTCCTCTGTTTGTTTAAGCAGCCTTGTTGCTTGCAACATCAACGCGATGTTGGAAGTCAAAAACGGATGCCTGCCACAGTTGGCTGCATAAAGAAAAATACTCAGAATATGTAATAAATATCGGCATGTAACTTGTACAACAAAGAGCTAAACGTTTGATCACTAAATTTACTGGCGAATTCTTAGATTACTGCAGCCAGCTGAAAGGAGTTAGATACAATCTAAATCACGGGAGTTGGGCAGATGGCCAGTCATATAAATGATTTGCGTCTGAGCGTCTAAGTGTAGAATTGGCTTGGATAAAAGAGTAAAGTAGCCAAATGAATAGGAACATGAAATGATAAACAGCAGGCATGTAACGCATGAAAACGGAGCAAATGAAAAAAAATCTGTAATGGTCGGCATGAAAGGCATAAGATAGCGTGCTGCCCTCCATCAAAATATTGGTTGAACTCCATCAGGAGGGATCCGCGATGAACAGTCTTTGATTTTGAGGGACCAACAATTGAAGAACCTGAACATCAAAAACGGCTCCGTGATTTCGGCACGATTTCTTGAAACAATAGAAGTGCGTATATGGCATTGTCAGTAATTTATCACATACTGTGACGAACCTGTTTGTGAATTTTCATGGAACTGATTTCGTCAGCCGTGTATGGCATCAGACATTACTCACTTCCAGTGTATTTTTGGGCATTCGCTGCTCAAGGAACTAAAAAAACTCACCCTGGGTAAGTGGCAGAGTCTATCTAATTAATCATTAGAAAATCAGACCATTAAAAACTGGCCACGTCATAAATATTCTAAGAAAAAATTCATAAGTCGCAAGAATAAATTTTACACTCAGGATTGTCGTTCATGCTTTCCACATGAGACGCTAGAGGCGATTCCTCAAGATGACACATGAGTACATTCGCAATGGTCCGTCTTCTGTTGCATTCGCAGTTCTCCTTTGTGCATGATAGCCAAACTACCGGCAGAAATAGCACTATCCAATGTTCTCTTTGAACGACATTACATAAAATGTTTGAACGCTTTGTCCTTGTATACAAGAGGGTAGTTGCATTCTGAAGGCATCAACAAGGTTTCTACTCTGTATAACGAGCTAATATTGTTAAAACAAGTACTTATGATGTTATCTTCAAAGAGTCCTCTGGAGTAATGACTTCATTTAGAAGACCGCTGGAAAATCGGACAACAACCAAGCGAACACCTAGACAAAATGCATTCCAAGAAATTGAAGGAGCAGTCCTTACCTAGTAGGTTAAGAAATTTTGCAATTTTGTTCAATTCAGATAGCTGTACCTCACTGAAGAGGTAGCTGCACCTCACTGAATGTACAGAAATCGTATTACGACATGATCATAGTAGTAGTTCTACTATAATGAGGACAATGCTGATGACGATGCTAAAGATGGCGATAAGGATGGCAACAATTATTGCTATGTTGGTGATGGTTATGATGGTAATTACGTTGATTTCGATGATACCGTTGGGATATCGGTCTCACGATTAGGGGCGACTTGTGGCGCCCTTGTTTTCGTAATGTTCATTGCACAGAGTTAATCTCCGTTTCTATGCCATGAAAAATGAGGGCCTCATTTTAAAGGCAGAGTGGAGAGTAGCTACGTCGCAAGCACCTGGCGTAGTCTCTCAATTCCTTCCTCTAAAAGGAAATTATTACTTATCGATCAACCTCTGAAGAAAGAAACGCGAGTGATCAAACATGAAACCTCTCAGTTGCGAAGAGTTCAACGATCTATCAACTGAGTAAGCACTTTTTATTGAATATAGCAATTATGATGAGTAAGAAGTGGACACGTGTATAATCTTCATTAGCATCCATTATCATAAACGTAATCAATGATCTTGTATCTTTCAACAATACATGGCATGATGTATTATTATCTTACGCCACGTCCTACGCTCTTTGTCGATTCGGAGCTGTTTATTTTTCGACCTAGTCCCTCCGGCGTCATCTCGAATTTTTATCGAGTCGAAACTTTTAGTTTTGTTTCCTCCAGGCAGTCTCCATTTTCTCTCATCATGTCAATTCTGTTTCGATCGACTAGTTTTCGTTGAAAGACTCTGCAAATATTAGTTATGC